AGCGATTCTACATTCACGTTAAACCACAGCTTCATGGGTTTTTTGCTCTGATTTATTTTTGGTTTTGTGCTGGTATTGGTATATTTTGCATGCTAGTGATAGGAATCTATCCCTTGACGTGATTGGTTATTGGTTTGTGACGTAGCAAACCAAGGGCTGTTTCAAACCATATTTCTGGGTCAGCCTTTGGGAAACTACAGTTTTAAGGAGAAAATACACAGCAATGGTGTTGATTAATAGATTGGCACATGGTTTGTCTAAAAGCATATTAAAAACACCACATAGACAAATAAACAACATAAAAAACTTGATTTTCACTACAGGGGGACTTTAACCTAAATCATTGCATCATCCATCTGTGAAGGACTTATGATGTCAACATACACAACTGTTAGCCAATCATAGCAGTGGGCGTTTACTTCCGAGTCTACAATCCATCACGCCTATTCAAACAGAGCGTTCTGATGAGGGTGATTAAAAACAGGACAGAAAATAGCCTATTACTTACAAATGATGTTTTTTGATCTTGATAACATTATAAGCAGACCTTAGAGAACAGTACAAAATAAAAAAAAACAAAGGCAGTTCATGACCCCTTTAAATACATGAACAAATGAGTTGATAATGAGATGATAGTGCACAGCTGAAAAAGTGAGAGAAATGGTGCTGACTGAAAACAAAGGTCCATGACGAGTGAAAGTGTGAAAGAACGTCCCCTCCCGGAAGGCGTGTTCTTGTGCTGTGAAGAAAAGGAGGCAAGGAGGATGAGATTGGCGCAGGGATGGTGAACAGGAGCAGGCGAATGGTGAAAGGGGCTTGCAAAGGGATTGCACACACAAGCAGAGAGATGCAGGAGGAGGCTCTGGAGGAGGACGGACGACCAGGAAGAGGCAGAACCAAGAAATCCAGGGTGGTGATGATGGAAGTGAACAGCCTTGAGCAGAAGATGGTGGCAGCTGATCCAGCTCACAGCCAAGACTGTGCCCCATGGATGACTGGAGGCGATGGCGACGTTGGAGATAGAGCTCACCACGCAGACAAAGAGCCAAAGTAGTGAAGTGACACCGAAGACCCTGGCGGCCACGACTGAGCCGTAGCGATGACCCTGGAAACTGCTGGAGTCGAGGGAGGAAGGAGAACAGGCGTGGAAGCCAAGGGCTCCTCACACCCAGGAGGAGGTGGCTCCCAGCAGTCCAGAGGTGTAGCCACACCACTGAGAAGACGCACTAAGGGTATAATGGGAGGTGACGATGACTGGATGGCAGGAATGGCTGGGGAATGGACTAGCGACTGCAGGGACAAACACAGCCATATCACTCTGCAGCCCAAGACTGGTTGCCCACTGAAGCTAAGCAGGGTTGAGCCTGGTGAATACCTGGATGGGAGACCTTCTGGGAAAACTAGGTTGGTGTTGTGGTCTGGTTGGGTCCTAATGCCCCATTATATTGACGGGGACACTATGCTGTCAAAAAGCACCGTCTTTCGGATGAGACGTTAAACCGAGGTCCTGACTCTCTGTGGTCATTAAAAATCCCATGGCACTTCTCTTAAAGAGTAGGGGTGTAATCCCGGTGTCCTGGCCAAATTGATGCCACTGGCTCTTGTCAATCATGGCCTCCTAATAATCCACTGAATTGGTTCTATCACTCTCTCTCCTCTCCACCTGTAGCTGTTGTGTGGTGAGTGCACTGGCGCTGTTGTACTGTGGCTGCCGTCACATCATCCAGGTTGAAGCTGCACACTGGTGGTGGTTGAGGAGAGACCCCCCCCCCATGATTGTAAAGCGTGTACTTGGGTGTACAGCAATACACAATAAAGCTCTATATAAATGCATCATTCATTCATTCAAACACTCAGGAAACATACAAACATCATCAGAAGTGCTTTGGAGAGGTGGTGGAAACTCAGAACAAAAGCTGGTGTTGAGGCCAGCATGCAGGAAACTGCAGAGGCAGTCATTCGGGAATGATATTGCTGGCATGAGGCTGAGGAACTCCTCCAAATGTTCCTTGAGGGGGGAGGGGGGTCCTTCTGCTCAAGGCATAACAATTTAACTGCTGCATAAGTCCATAGTGCAGCAACCAACCAAAACACATACTAACGAAAAACAAACAAAAACGCTGCTTATCTATTCTAGGTCGGGTCTTCTCTCATGCTCGGGTGGAATAAACAAAAATTTCAAACTAATGGCAGTCTTTAATAATCCAAAGAGTAAATCCAACAGAGAAGTAAGCACCACAACACATAGTACCCGACAAACAAGAACTGAAACTGTGGAACTTAAATACACAAACAAATGAGGTGCTAGTGCACAGCTGAAACTAATGAGTGTCTATAATAAACAAACTAAGGGAAACGGTGCTGACTGAAAAGTCCATGTGGAGTGAAAGTGTGACAGGCAGCAGGTTCTTACAGTTTTTATAGTAGAAACAGGGTGTAACTGGGTCCGGATTCATACAGCTGAAGTTCCTTCTGTTGAGCCGTACAGCCTCCAGCAGAGTGGTACTGGCATCAAACACCAATCGGTTACTAGGAGGGCAACCAATATAGACAGGCAAATTCTGCAGACCCTAAGAGAGAGAGAACATGACAAAATGAGCCTCAAAGAGTGAGAAAGGAGAGGAACAACAGAGTAAAGATGTATGAGCATTACACTGAGAACCATCCCATGGTCAGTCTGCTGAAAACACTGTCTTGGTGAAATGCCAATCTGAAAATTAACAAATAAACACAAACCATACAAATACATCTGCAATATCAAATCTGATTGCCAATCATTCATTTTTGCATTGTTTTAATCAGTAAATTTTCTTCAGTGATATTTTAACACTGACCCTAAACAACACGCTGAAAGGCAAAAGTTTCTCTCCTGGAAACACCTGACCTTCAACCATGCCTTTGTCAGTCACCGTCACCTAGATAACAGAGCAGAAGATCTGAGTAACAGATGAACAAACACTCAGGAAATATATTAACAGTACAAACTGATGTAGCTAGGTGTTTATGTGGGGTAGGGTAAAGTGCCTTATAAAGGACTCCTCCATAATTCAATTTCACGTATCTCTGGAGAGTCACCCTCAGATATTTAGAATTAGGGACCGTCGCAAACATTCTGATGTCATTTACAGCACGCTCTCCTGGAACAAAACACATATTATTAGCAGGCCAGTAAATACATAAAACTAATAATAATCACCTTTTATGTACTTCATTATGATTTCAAATTTTGAAAAATACAGTTTAATGTTAGCACATACAAACAGCAAACCCAGTCTTACAGTGACTTTGTATAGGTATAATAATGTTATCACCAAAAGCAAAGGTAGCAAAATAGTGTTCCTGCATAAGTTGACAAGCTGATGTTCACAGCATTCTGCTTCTCATATATCGGCACAATTGTGAATGCATAAAATGAGTTACAGGCAGAAAACAACTCAAACTGACTGTCTAAACAAAGTTTTTTCATTTAATTACAAATGTACAAAAAAATCATTCAGCATTAGATTAAGTGTATATGTCAATTCCTAACCGATGGACTCTAGAGTGAGCTGATGGGCTCTTATGAACAGAGAGAATGAGAATGAGGCTGTTCTGTCCAGGTAAACTCTATCTGGAAGTCTGGCCGTTATGTGTCCTTTGCTGTCTGTGGTAACACCTGACACATTATTATATGACAGGTACAAGCAAAAGTCCTAAAACACAACAAGAACACACATTGTAAAATGACACTTCTATTAGCTTTGCCACCAAAAATACTCAGACAATTGCCTGAAAGATATAACTTGCATCTGAACTCTTCATACATATATTTTTGTTTACATTTTTAAACGGTATAATGGCAAACTGTTTATTTGCAATAGAATTAAAAAGAGAAATCTGTCACCTTATAGAGCACACCATTGCACATGCGTGAGATGGGGTTCTCTTTAGGATCTCCAATGACCTAAAAAAGGAAGGAGTGATATAAAACTCAACTACAATGTAACTACATAAGGTCAGCATATGTATATGAAGATTTGTCTTTTAAAATCTTCTCTGCAGCAGAAAGTGAGGTCCACAGGAGAATGTTAAAATATAAGTCATTATTTTGAAATGAGCACCAGCCTGACAGGCAGTACATCTACAATGACAATTTATATAAATACAGTGTATAAATATATGCCCGATTTATAGTGACTGGACATGGTATAATACCATGAGGTATTGTGCATGCAACTGCAGCAGGTGGTAGACGAGGCCCTGGTACAGAGCCAATGAACGTGTGGTGTGTAATTCAGAGGAGGACGTCACTAGTTGGGGGTTGACTGAGTACCGCTGCAATCGGTTAAAGCTCTCTATATGAGGGACACTGTACTCTAGGTCAAAGGGACATGTGGACAGGAATGGCAGATGACTAAATGACCTATGTGGGAAAGAGAGAGAGATGCATCAGATGAATAGGTTAGAAAATCAAAATAAAAAATTACAATATTATTCAAAACAAACACAAAAAAAACAAATGCACATTCACTCAAAAACAAGTTATACAAAATGACTGTCATACAAAATCTCGACCACTGGGATTTTCCTCTTCACAACAGAACCTTTCCCATCCAAGTCTACTGTGTACAGCACCTGCACACACATACAGACAAACACGCATACATAAATGTATGTATGTGTCTATGAATGTATGTCATAGTGTTATTATTCATTAACTTTTTTCATATTGTAGCCCAGTTTCAGGGGGTATTTGCTGTTTGTGAGTGTGCTTGCGCACACCTCTTGTAACTCTTTATCTCCATCAAAAAACACTGTGAGTGTGCTGTGATCACCAGAAAGAGCTTGCAGATGGGACAACTCATTCCAGCCCTGAGATGGCCGCAAACGAAACACAGAATCTGTTCTTTCTTGACCCCACCACAGCTTCAGGGAGAAACACAAGAAAAGAAAATTTGTCATTAAGAACTTGTTTTTTGCTTTTGTTTCTTGATATGAATAGATAGATTATTGTTTTAAATTCATATAATAATATACACACCTCCTCCTGTTCAGTAACAAAGACAAATGTTCCATCATAAGAAAGAGTGAAATATTTTATCATCTGGTCACTAGGAAATCCGCTGTCGTGCCAAAAACTCTGCCCATCCTCCCAACTGAACAAACACACACAAAAACATGTTAACATAATTATGTAAATGCATGTTTCAGTGTTAATGCACATGTGTGCACATACGTAAGAATATAAGAGAAGATGAGTGAGTTTCCCCAGATGTATAGAATTCCAGTGCTGGGGTTAAGTGTCATTCCATTGAATTTCAGGTTCAAAGAACTTCTCTCTTGGGGCCCTGTTACACACACATAAATACAGTAAACACATTTTATTATTATGATAAAATACCTGCAAAACATACATAGTCTAATTTGAACACACACACAAACACAAAACAAATTCACATCACTGAATCTACACATGCACGCTAGGTCACAGACACATAAAAATGTGTATGTGCTTACGTTGCCTCTGACTATAAACGATGAACTCAGGTAAAATCTCACTCATCTGGAAATGACCATCTGTGAGGAAACAAATCAAGTTCTCAATAATAGGGTAAGGTGCCTTCCTTAAAAACAACGTGCAAAATCACAGAATCCATTAATAAAAATGGAGTTTACTGTATAATGTGGAATGTCACAGACAATGTCACATTGAGCAGTATGTAAGAACACTCTCAATCTTGATGGGAAAGCAGTTCTACTAGTATGATGTCAGTTACATTTGTCAAATTGTGGATGAATAAATCTAAATTAGGTCAGTACAGTTAAATCAAGTCGCAATATGGACTAGTGTCATTAACAAATCCCTCATTAACAAATAGACAAAAAACCTTTGAAATTCAATGTTACACTGTCATCAGCATCACAAAAATCAGATCAATTAACTTTAAAACCTTTTCAACTGACTAAATCTTACAAATGCTGATGTTCAGAAGAAATGACAAAATTAAGAAGAGCGAAGCCGTTCATCAAATGTGTCGAGATGAGATTTTGTGCCATTTATGATTGAAAGAAAAACTGAGGTGGAGGCGGTCATCTTGCCCCAGGGGCCATCTTTCGCTGTTACCGTACTGTGCTTAAGTAATGGCATTTTGGGATGTTTAAAGCTAAGAAAACTGCATATATTATATTAATATGATGTTCATCAAAAGCTCACCAAAAAAGTAAAATCATTAGGCTACCAACTCCCGTTTGTATGTAATGCACAGCAGTGTGTTACCGAACGTGAGCAGTATGTAAGAACGCTCTTGATCTTCATGGAAAAGCAGCTCTACTAGTATGATGTCAGTTACATCGGTCTGGGCATTCTGGGCCGCTGAGCGCACCTGGCAACTGGGGTCTGGAGAAGAAGACCACATCAGTATAATTACATTCTTATAATTAAATAGTTAACACATCAGGAATTGGCCTCATCTGATCTATATGAAAATCAATCAACCAGAAAAGAAAAAGTAATGTAGAGATTTAGGTTGGTGCATTTCATAACAATACACTCACTGTTCGCAGTGCTTCTTTTAAGGTTTTTTTCAAATGTCACAATCTCGCATGCGGTGAAGCCAATAGAATCCACCAACTCTGTAAATGTAACATCACCATCTAGTGGAGAAAATTAGATAGCGTATGAATGCAGGCAGGATGAGGGATATCATTTGATATCTTGCCTAATCAAAATGATATTGGAGGGAAAGCGTTGTATCAGAGAGAATGAAGCAGTTCAGTATCTGACCGTAAACCTCTGCACGGTACAGGTTTCCACTCTGCAAGCCTCCCCCCAGAACATAGAAGTACTCTCTACCATGATGAGGAATACTCACTGGTACCAAACCAGACACACAAACTGCACTTAATACCTTTTCCCATGCATCTATGAAAAAGAGATGTTTTAGAGTCATTGAAGACATGACAACAAAATTCCTCTTTTAAAAAATATCCCTTATGTTATTGTGCATCACCTCCATTATTCTAAAAGAATAAAAATATTTTCAGACTATTTCATTAAATATGTAATAATCAGATTCTACTATACAATAAAATCAAAAATCATAAAGAAAACAAGAGCCTATACTCTTAACAATATACAAAATCCCACTCTACATTATTTGCAATTGAATACTCAGTTTTTGCTCTGAAATGCATCATGCTACAGAATTATTATTGCTATTATTATATAGCTATTATATTATTATATAGCTATTATTGAATGCCACAATTAGCAATGTGATTCTCTTTTTTTCCTCTATTGTGACATATATACACGTGAAACAGCTTCTCGAAGGAGAAAAAATGTAGGGCAGGACTTGATTTTGTCTAACTGGAATTGAATATTGTTGTTTGCAATTAGAAAAATTGGGCTGTGCACATTCAGTGACACGTGTGCTGTTCTGATGATGAAATTTGTCACACACACTGTGCACATACCCCAGCATATGTGCAAAAACCGAAGTACCTTTTGGGCATAATTGCTGAGATCTCATGTGAGTTGACAGGTTGCTGGAGGGTAGGGATAATTGCCCAGCCCAGAGGTTTATGTTTTTGATTAAAGATTATGAACGTGAAAAAAAATTATGTACAAGGATAACTAATTTATAATAAACACAGAAAAAAAAAACTGTCTAAGTTTTGCATTCACACAGAATAAAATACTGCACTTAAATGTGTGTGAATAAGAAAAGGCGGCCTTTTATCATTCTTTTCCATTCAACCTCCATTAAAAGCTTAAAATCTGGTCTTTGCTGAACTCTCATAAGAGTATATACAGATTTATACATAGAAATATATTACCAGTGCTCTAAAATGATTAAAAAGATGTAGAACACCCACATAAAATCTGTTGTACCTGATGGTGGCACTCTGAGGGGAAGAAGAGAATACTTTCCTAGGAAACGGTAAAGCTCTTGATTGTGTATGACAAATAGTGAGCTCTCTGTAGATAAAGTTTCTTGAATCATAGAAGACTCCACCTGTAGACACTCCCAAGAGCCTGATGAGCTCTTTATACTCACCTATACATGCACATTTAAATTAATTCAAAGATTGGCACTGGCTTTATATGCAAATGTCATGGATGCAGTGCCAGTTTATGGACCACCTCTATAAGGGATGTATGCTGGAACTCAGTAGCAGTCATGAGCACAGCTGTCAAGCCTGGTATTCCTGGCAACAAGAGAACAGGAGCATGGTCCACTACAGACCAGAGTGGACGGGATGGACTACCAACTCTCAGCACGTCTTCTACAGCCTGTATCTATTCACAAATAAACACCACATGCAAATAAATGAGGGCAAAATTTTATTAAATTTTCCATTATATCACTTGCTCTTGATATTGTAAATGACATCCACTTAAACAGGTCATTGTGAATATAAAGTATCTGGCACTGTACATCTGCTCTTTGACCTCACCTCAGTGCCAAAGGATGCTTCAGTCTCTCCCTTCTCTGTAGTGACCATGTAGCCGTTCACATTTAGGGCAAAACTGCCCGCAGGTTTCACCATCACAGACTCAGGTTATTATATGTAGACAATAATGTATGAAAACAAACAGATATATGTAAATATACACCCACCTTTTCTCAGGCAGATGCTGAGAACCCATTTCAATGGATTTTACCTTCACCCGTTGCACCACTGACCCATTGATGATGGGCATTGGGGCATACCAGCTAAACTCGCACATCTCACTTCCACAGGTAGCTAAACAAACACACACCAGCAAAACCACCAACACAAATAAATGTCTTTATATTCACAACCATTACTAAGCGCTGAAATGTTACACACACACCACTGTCCGATAGTGAAGCAACTGACAGCTCCACCTCAAGTCTCTGCGGTTTGAAGTGAGTGGGGTGTGTGGGCTCTTGGAACGTAACAACTGCTTTTGGAGTCATTGAGTCCTCCAGCACGGCTCTGCCTGAAGACTCCTGAGACACCCAATAAATGTAACAATAGTAATATACACTGCTGCACATCAGGTTTGGATAATTGAAAAAAAAAAACAGTCTTGAAAAACAGTCCTATCCATCTAATTTTTGTATTTTAACTTATTTTTCTTGCTTGGTGTGCTTCTAACTTTTGCCTTTCATTCCTAAAGATACCTAACAGTTCCAAAAAGATCTACAAGTGCTATCTATTTCAAAAAGTCGTTATATCAGACCTCTAAATAGGAGTGGATTTTACTACCTTAAAGCCACACAGCAGGTCTAGCTTCAGGTAATATGGAAATCCCATCTGTGAGGCACAACAGAATATTATGAAACTTAATGCACACATTAACATTCACTACACAATGAATACATATTAAAATTAAGATTTATTTTATGTTAATGGACATACTGTATCTTTTGGATAATATCAAGAGTGTGAGCTTACATTTTTCTGCATTTCCATAGGGTCCAGATCTTGCACATCCATGCCACCAGTCCCGAGACTGCACATTCCGGTGGAAACAGGTTCGGTTTTACACAGCCTCACGTCCCACTCACACTCTCCAACACGAGATGGTGTAAAACCAAGCACTGATAGTGCAAGCAGCACAATCACAATCAAAGCCATTTCTGAAACAGACTGGAATTGATTTAAGAGTGAATTGAGTCCTGAAATATAGATCAATACCAGCCTTACAGCTGACAGAAGAACTCTATTAAGACATTGCTAATCTTGCTTCATGACACATAGCTTAAAATGCTGTGAATGTGTCTGAAAGTAAAAAAAAAAAAAACTTATTAAAGGGATAGTTCACCCAAAAATGAAAATTTGATGTTTATCTGCTTACCCCCAGGGCATCCAAGATGTAG